CGTGCATATAAATAACATCAAAAACGGAGCTCGTATGCGAAAGTTATGATTTTCGGAAGATTTTTGAATTAAAAATAAAAAAAAATTCGGATAATCTCGCATGAACAGTAACCGGACTCGTGTCTGCTTCTGATTTGTCCAATTGCGAGGTCCATTCAACGTCAGACGCGCTTGGCGTACTAGCCAACATCTAAGATGTATCGTAAGACGCCTTATCCAACGTGTGTCCAGCCATCCTTCGCATGCCCTGCTCCGTGTCACTCCTTAATTCGACCGAATTTCGGTCCAGTTGTTGTCCAATGTACATGGCGTCATGCGAGGCGTCTAAGACGTCCCCCTAAGACGCCGTTCGAAGGTTTTAGCCCCTATAAAATCCATGCGAGCCCTCTCTGATTTGAGACTAATTTGCACCACTTCTTACCTCCTTTCACCTCTCTCACTCCCACCAACTTACCAACAACCCCCAAGGCCCCCGAAGCATACCTCAGACCCCGAGCAAGCCCCGAAGCCCCGATATTCCCGAGAATATCCATCTTTTCTAGTCGGAACTCTGCCCGATTTAAGCCGATTTTCTCGTCAAACAAACTTTTTTTTGGGAAACGAAACGCTTATCAAGTGAGTTTATACCCCTATGTTTTCACTATTTTTATAATGTTTTAGGGGGAAATACAAGTAAAATACAAGGAATTTTTGTGTAAATAATAAAATTCATTCTTTTGTTTTATTAGTATTGTAAATAAACTATTGTACTGATTTTGGAACAATTTGTTAATATAAACATGTAAATTATAATAGGTATAATTTATGATTCATATAAACTTGTTAATATACTTTATGGAAATACACATATTTACTACATAATCAGAGTTTCTGATGAAATCAGATATATAAATTATATTAAATATAATTTATAATATAGTTATGATATAACTATTACAAGGATAGCTTTCAATATTTTACATAAAATTATCAATAAGGTATTTGTGAGACACATTTCAAATACTTATTCAAGTATAAAACAAAAGTCCCGAAAGTTATAACCAGAGTCCCCTTGAGAGAGAGTGTGACACTTGTATATAAATCTATATGGGATTGACAATCCCACATCTCGACTGTTAGCTATAGTCAAGCCGATAGGCTTGGGATGATAATTGTCGTACCGTATTAGAACGCCTGAAGAACGTTGTGTTTCAGGCGAGGCTTAGGTCATCAAGTATGGTTATGACAACTTACAAGTTTGTAATTGATAAATAAGTTTGGTGTAAGAATAAGTAACTACTTCATATAGTTTAATATATTAAAACTATAATACTATTTCACAAGTTTTATTACAAGTATCGGTATAGAATACTATACAATTTCTGAGTTAACTTATTTTTCAAAGTCTTATGGGAGGTTAAGACTATACTACTTTTGAAAACAAATGTACATACAACATAAAATATAGGATTTTTTGGAAGAACAAATACATATTTCATAGAACAAACAAGTTATTTATATAACATACTTATGAACTCACCAACTTAATTGTTGATACTCCTTTCAAAACTACTTGTATTTTCAGGAAAGCAGTAAACAGGTACCAACGCGTTATGAGGAAGACCAAGTTTCTTTATATTTATGTTTGTAAATTATACTTTTGAAACACAGTTGTAAAACTTAAAATCTTATGTAATAAATGTTGTACTTTGGTTTCTATTATGCATTGTTGTAATACTATAAATGAAGTCCTCCGCTCCTGAATGTTTCCGCCGTTCAGTTTTGAGGGTGTGACCGCAACAAATTCTTTTCAGGAGAAGCAACCAACACCTTGTTAAAGTGACACAAGAACATGAATAACTTTTGTATTATGATAACTAATTAATTCTTTGTCTCCACTTGTGATAAATAGTTATCGAGTACAATCGAATGGGACAATTGACACCGCCATTAACACCAATGAACACACACCAGAAATCATTTCGTTCTTAATCCAAAGTTAATCAACGAAATCAAGTGTGAAAACAATTAGTTACCATAAAACTGAAAAATTGAACATTGCAATCGATTGTTTTCACAAATTACCCTTGTCGTAGAAGCTTCAAACCTGTTATATAATTCAGATTTATGAAAAAAAATTATGAAAGGGGTGGGAAGAGGAGGTAGTGGTGGTGGTGAAGGGAGATGTGTTGGACTGAAACTCTCAACGACTATTATTTCATATCCGATCAAATAAATACTGCATCTTTATTAATATAAAACAAGACACAAACCACTGGAAATATGCGTAGAATCGAGAAAAGAAATCCGACTTCAATGACTGTACAATAAAATGACTTCATTCATCTTTATCGTAGCTTGATCGGATTAGTTTTCTAGGATTATTTATTTAGTAAATGAATGGAATTGCTTAATCTTTGTATTTTTACTTTAGTTTGTTTCAAGTTAATAGCAACGCAAATTTGGGGCAATATGATCTATCCATGTTAAGGCAAAAATGTTTCGAGGGCAATTTGGTAAATCAGTTTTTATTAAATTAAAATGATTATAAAATATAAAAAATGATTAAAAGATTTTAAAAATAAATTTGTACAAATACGATATTTTAAATGTTAACAATGATATATATATATATATATATATATATATATATATATATATATATATATATATATATATATATATATAGGGTTAGGTTCATTTGAGACCACCTATATTTTGTGAGACCGTGAGATGCATTTTCTTATTATTTTTTTTATTTTTAATTTTTTTTAGTTAATTCATGTTCCGAAAATAATATTTAAAAAAAGAATTTTTTGATTTTTCCATTTATTTTGCATTTTAAAATTATTTTTAGAATATGTACAGTGTAATATTCTATTTAGAATATTTCACGTATTTTTAAAAAAAAAAATAGAACTTTTTTTTTATTTTTTTTAGTTAATTCAAGTTCCGAAAATAATATTTAAAAAAAGAATTTTTAGATTTTTCCATTTATTTTGCATTTTAAAATTATTTTTTAAAATATGTCAGTGTAATATTCTATTTAGAATATTTCACGTATTTTTCAAAAAAAAAAAAAACGGAATTTTTTTTATTTTTTTATATTTTTTTTAGTTAATTCAAGTTCCGAAAATAATATTTAAAAAAAGAATTTTTGGATTTTTCCATTTATTTTGCATTTTAAAATTATTTTTAGATTTGGTCTCACGGTCTCACAAAATTAGAATAGTCTCAAATGAACCTAAAATATATATATATATATATATATATATATATATATATATATATATATATATATATATATATATATATTTGAATCTTAAAAGGGTATATATGAAATTTTTCATAAAAAAGAAAATTGTCTAAAAGCTAAATTTGAAACATAATAAATAAATATGTCAATTTAAAAAATTGATTAAAAAGCTTAATTATTTTTCTTAAACAATATATAAGTAAGTTTTAGATTTGGATTGTTGCGTTTAAAATAAAAATTAAACTTTTCTTTAAATCGATCACATTTTATTAAAACCTAAATTTTAGAAATACTCAAACACTTTTGACAAACATGCGAATATATAATATTAAATTTTACTTGACCAGAAAAGAAATAGCCAGCCAGGCATCTTAAACTTCCACAAAACTGCGGGGGGCTTTTTAGAACTTTTTCTAGCAATTTGGTCTTTCAGTAGTCGAAAATTCACCCATAAACTTGAAGCTTTTCGCAATTCCCCTTACTTTGAAGAACCGATCATTTCCTTCTTACTGCTCGAATCGCGCGATAATGGTGCGTTTTCACTCTTTCTCGATCAACGCCCTTGTTGCAAATTATCATATCGTACAAATTTTTTGAATTATTGCTTTGATCTTGTATTTATTTTTTGTAATGGACAGATCCGATTCATTCTGCTTCAGAATAGGCAAGGGAAGACTCGCCTCGCTAAGTATTACATTCCTCTTGAAGAATCCGAAAAGCACAAGGTCGAATACGAGGTAACCCTAGAAAAAAGATGAAAATTTCGATTTTGATTCTCTTTTCAGTTAACTTAATCTGATTTTGCAAATTCGTGTGCATAATTGTGTGTTTAGGTCCATCGATTGGTCGTAAACAGAGATCCCAAATTCACTAACTTTGTTGAGGTACTTACCGATCTTCCTATCATCTGTATTTTCGATTCAGGAAAGTAATACGGAGAGTTACACTTTGAATTAGGGTTTTAACTTGTTACTTTTCAACTTTACATCTAGAATTGTAATAAAGGACCATGATAAATCTGCAATTAGTGATCATTGATGTAATCCTTGTGTGGAAAAACCACCTTATGCATCATCTGATATCTCTTAATCATTTCTCTCTTAATCACTTCTGCAAGTTTCATATATATGAACAAAATACATTGATAAAACATAAAATTGAACTTGTTTTATAAAGTTTTTGGTTTTTATATATATTTGTTGTTGCAGTTTCGTACACACAAAGTTATATACAGGAGATATGCTGGACTTTTTTTCTCACTTTGTGTTGATATAACGGATAATGAGCTTGCTTATTTGGAGGGCATCCATTTATTTGTTGAAATACTCGATCACTTCTTCAGTAATGTCTGTGAACTAGATTTGGTCTTCAACTTCCATAAGGTGCTAAAATTTTATATTTTCATTCCTCATTTTCAAAAAAATATTATATTTTGTTATTGACATAATTCTTATTTGTAAAAAGGTGTATCTGATTCTAGACGAGTTCATTCTTGCTGGTGAATTTCAAGAAACAAGCAAAAAGGTATAATATTTATTGGCTCAAAAGGGTAATATCTTATCTTTATGTTTATTTATAAATTGTGTTTTTTTTGTTAATTCATAGGCAATCATAGAGAGGATGGGAGAATTGGAAAAGCAGGAGTGAGATGCGTTTTTTCTAGTGATCTTCTTGGAATATCTGTATTTTCATACATTTTTTATTTTATTCATGAGTATTGTATTGTACCTTTTGATTTTCGTAAATGAAATATTTGAAACCTTTTGAGGGATACAACTTTCATTGCATGAAGTACAAATAATTACTAAATTACCATATATTGTTACTCTTACTATATTTACACAAGTTAACAAGAACAATTTTCAGAAGCTTATTGCAAGGCTTGTTTGTTAGATATACATATGCCATTTACACTGGTGACGTCAGCTTTAATAAAATGACATATGTAAACATGAACCCAACATCTCTTTCGTGAATTGTTGATCCCATGGGTGCTGATGACGTCAGCTTCTTTTGGAGGTGGTTCCACGTGTAAAGTTTCTACTGGTTCTAATTCTGAAGTTTTGTTGAATGTTTGAGCCAATGCAAATAGAGCCTCAGCTACTTCTTCTTCGTCTTTTGTACAATCGTTTGATTTTTGAGTTTCAGTTTCTTGTTTTTTCATTGCTGTAAACGTAATTAATTATAAACCTATTATATAGAATGGGAATAGATAAATAAATAAATAAAGTATTGGGAAAGATGATCGATTTAATCAAGGATACCGATAGAATTCAATCTTCTAAGCTTCTCTTTCTTTGGTGATTTACTCAAGAAAACGTTGTGATCCAAACCTATTTTAAATACAAATTTTGATTTTTGATGAATGAGTTAATTCTTGAGCATGTGGTGTTTCTTTTACATTTAATGAAGATTGAAGAAGAGTTGATTTGAGATTTAAAGGAAAGACGTTAAATATGTGAAAGAATGGGAATACAAAATTGTTACCTGTGTGTCGCATATGAGTTGATAATCGACTTGATCCTCCATGACCTTTGTCCATTTCTGAAATTATGTTAATTTGGAAGATCAAATACTATGTCAAACACAGAAATTTGGATTGCAGTTAATAATCAAAGTCTATCGATCATCAAAAACCATTTCGAAAATGTGAGAAAGTAATCAGAAAATATTAGATTTCAATGTCTGATCAAAATTGGTAGAAAACGCTTTTGTGCTCAGAGAATCACGTTCTTCATGAAATAAAGCGATCAGTCTCTTTCTCACACACAGTGATTATGTAGAGATGCACACGCAAAGGAAGAAATTCAAGAGCTACACTGGATCTCACATTTCATATACAAAATTTCAGAAAGAAAGAGACATGATTTGCTCAATACATGAAAGAATTACGCAACTGTAAACCAAATTCATACAGCAATCGAAGGTTATTAAAAAAACTAATCTAAAAAAAAGGAACAGAGAACTCACATCTTGAATGGATGGAGAAGAACAGAATCAACAATTTACCAGATTATAGAAAGGAATATGGTGAAATTTGCACTGAAGAATGATGGTTTTTTATGGTGTAATCAAATAAAATCAACGCATTGATGGAAGATCAATATCGCATCATTAAAATCATATATTAGATTATTCTCTCACTGACAGTAGATGATATCTCCATGATCTGTAACAGATGATGAATAATGAGAGGAATAAGAAACAGAAGCTGCAGAAATGAATCACACACTACAACAATGTGATCTCTCTCTCTCTCTCTCTCTTTGCGAGTATATATATGTACGGCTTTTCCCTTTATACAAATTTCGAAGCATATGGTACAAGTCAATATGCGAATATTGGCCTGGATTTCACAAAAGTTCATCTGGAAAAGAAATTACATATATGTACACAAAGTACATGTACCGATGTACGAAAGTAATACACTGAAAGGGGTCATTGAGCGAGTCGAGTTACTTGAGTTGACTCATAAATGTATGATATACATAATATTATGTAAACTATGATTGATACATATTTTTCTCATTTTTATGAAAGACATTTTGATCTATTAAAAATTTTAACAGATTTTAAGTAGGTCCAATAAATAAAAATTAAATATTGTTACTTTTCTCCAAGGGTTGGCTGAAAGTTTACATGATGTACTTCCAGTTGGTGAATTCCTTTGGTAAATGACTAAATGAACAAGGTCATGGGAGTTCTCATGTTGTGCATTTTAAGACGGATGATAGTTCATAGTTGTATGCTTGTAGCATTCATATATTTGGGCTATAAGTTTTGATTTTAAATGTAAATTTCGACAAAGTATATTAGTTTTAAATTTAAATTAAATAATAACTATTAGTTAAAATATTAAATAAAAAGGTTTTAATTGAAGTTTTCATTGCTTGAAATTATGAGTTGACATTTCAAAAAAATTAGTCGAATAACATAAGTTGACTTAAACTTTGTGACCTTTGATTTAAATTACCATCCAAGATGCATTAATACGTAACCATTTAGCCATTTTAGTTATAATCGTGATAATTAAGCACTTAATTGGGACATTTACTATTTATCAAAGCTACGTCGTTTTATAGTAAGTTAGTCTACTAATATGGTAGTTAGATTAGTGGAGCAAATTAGCTTAGCCTAAGTCTGTTACGTGTATGTTAGCATAATATGTACAAGTAGTATAAATACTCTTGTAACATATTAGTTTGGTAATGAGAAACTTAATTCAATATGGTATCAGAATAAATCTTTTGTGTTTGTAAGGCTGGTGGGTATGGGTGCGGTCCAAGACCGCACTTCGTGCCACATAGGACGCGAACATCACCCCCATATTGCGGTCTGGTGCAGTCTTGGCCGCAGTGCGGTCCTCCAATACCGTGCATTTTGATTGATTGAGGAAGGTAGCCGTTCAGCATTTAAACTTTTTTTTTTCTTTTTCTTTTTCTTTCCTATATATATATATATATATATATATATATATATATATATATATATATATATATATATATATATATATATATATATATATATATCAACTTAATTTTTTTTTCATAACACAATCTTCTTTATCCCCAATTTTTTTTTTTTTTTAAATCACCACTCTCTCAATTTTTTTTAAATGTCATGTGTGTGGTTTTTTTTTTTTTTTTTTTTTTTTTTTTTTTTTTTTTTTTTAAGTAACACAATGTATTTTTTTTTTTAGTTTTCAAGTAATGAAAAATTATGTTTTTTTTATTAAAATAGAAGTTATATTAAATTAAAATAGTTTAAAAAAAAGTTTTATTAAATTAAAATATCAAAAAAAAAAAATGAAAAGTGTGGCATGAAACCACATTTGAGTGGTAAAAAGTGACATGACGCTTATGTGGCGGGGGAGGGAGTGCGGTTTCGGTGGCACCACTCCCTCCAGCCTAATAAGCGCTTAAAGTTTCAAAATTGTCATCATAAAACCAATAGATGGCATAAGTGTAGGTTTGTAGGGTCTTGCAGATCAGTTTAATAGATGGCATAGGTGTAGGTTTATAAGGTCTTGCAGATCAGTTTGTAAGGCCTTATGTATCCAGGTCTTGCAAATTTTTGTATGACATTGAAGTATTAACTTTGAATTTTTTTTTTTTTTTTTTTTAATACTTTTATCTAGGTTTAGTATTAATGGTACTTGGTTTGTTATGAAACAGTAGTTATTTTACAATCCTTCAAAAACTTAGAGGAGCTTGTTGGATGATAGTTCACATGCTTAAGGTGGGTTCATTAGATATGCACATATGTCCCTTATATAACATTATATTTAAAAACAGTTTCAATGTATTATTATGTGCACATCCTATGTGAAATATTACATGGGTTAGTATGTGGAATTCATAAAATGTTTTTACAAAAGTGTTTTGAAACGAGAATATAGTTTCTTGTTTTTAATTTACATTTGATAATAATAATAATAATGTGCATTCATTATATGATGAGAATGAGACTTTTTGTGGCCACTTGAGATGACTTTGATAGAGAAAATAGATGTTTATGACAACATTATATACGGCAACACTTACACACGAGATTTGCAACCTTATGTATGGTATATGTGTGATGGCTTCCTGATACATAGTTTGAATACAGCATCTGGAGTGTTTCGTGTGCTTTATGTTACATTTACATGGACTCTATTTACCAATCAATTGTGAGATGTTTTTGGAATGGATATGACTTCGATTTTTATTTTTTAGATCCATATCATGCATTGCAATTGCCCATACCTTTTTTCTTTGGTGTATATTGAGATTTATTAATGATTATAACAATTTATAAATATATGTAATGTTTTTCCCCATATATTGAATGTTCATTGCACTTTATAAATTTTTACCGGGTTTTCCATTATATGTGGACTTACTGAACATCCATATACTTGACTAATGTTTAACCCCGATAATGCTCATTAGGTTTCCAAATCTACATATTATTTTTGCACGTGTTCATATTAAAAGTTGTAGTTGAAGATTGAAGGTTGAAGAGAATGATGACATTTAAAAGACATTTTCTTTTGATGTATAAGTTATGATAATGTCACTGTAGCACACAGAACTTTTCATATTTGGCTAATTTGGTCCTTAAAGTTTTTTTTGGTACATTAGACCATTAAACTCGTAACTGATCTTTTAATTACACCATTTTAGAAGGTTTCCCGGTTACAATGCTTATATGGCACGCTGATGTGTCCAATAAGCTTACGTGGTCCAGTTGTCGATACAGGCTTATTAATTGAAACCCTCATTCGGACCTTCGTTCAATCTTTACTTACCCTTCTCTAAAAAGTCAAAGACTTCTCCCTCCCCGACTATTTCCATCCTGAAGAAGAATGTCTTCGAGCTCATCGACGTCAAGGAATCAGCTACAAGTCACTCATGTTCAGTCGCAAGAAAGGGTAAAGGTTTGTGATTGTGTCGTTCCAGCTAAAGAACGAACTTGTTGGAAGATAACAAACCCTAGGAGGCGATTCTGGAATTGTCAAAACAGTATGGTAGGTCCCGATTCTCTTGATTTTGATAAGTTAGTATTTTATGGTTTGATGTGTTGTTTCTTTCTGTAAAAACGACAATGGTGTATTTGTATTTTGTTTCATCTGTTAAAAACCCTAATTTTATTTCCTTTTTGACGATCACTGTGAATAAAACCCATTTCGCTGGTACATTAAAGGTAGTTGATTTGTGATTGTCAGTCAAACCCTAATTTTATTTTCTTTTTATAGACTAGGTTGAGGAAATGTAGCTTCTTTGAATGGAAAGATGAAGAACAGGCAGACGGGTACTACAAAAACTGCTATATTCTCTGAAGCAGAAACTGGATGCCAAAGACGAAATGTCTGAGATGAACAATTTGAGGAGAAGGATTGCTGAAGTAGAGTTTTTGCTGTCACAGGAGCAGTATAAGGTGGCAAAGAGTGAGAAAGAAGTTCATGATGCAATGAAGTCAATAGGCAGGTATGTAACGCCTGTGTTTCTGGGCTTGCTATTTTTAGCAATGTAATAGTCTAGGTTAACCTTTGTAACCCGTTTTGAAATAATATAAGTGTATTATTTGAGTATTATGTGTTTTGTGCTTAATTGCTTAATTATGTGGTTTAATTAATTAAGAATAAAAAGAAGCTTCAAAATTTAAGTGTAAAATAAACTCGATATCTTTAGATAATATTGTAGTAGTTGAAACAAGGTTTCTGAAGATATAAAGAATGCCGAAATCCGAGTTATAACGAGGGAGTTATGACCTGTCGAAGTTTCGCGACAGAACCGGCACCGTTGAATAACGTAAAAAGTGAAATTTACGTTAGAGCGATATTTAGCCTTAGTGATCTAAACGAGAATCGAAGATCTCGTTGTTAGTATCAAAGCGATAAAAAGTTAGGCGAAAACGGACGTCAAACGAAGAAGTTATGAATTTATAACGCAATTTTTTGTCCCGGCCTATTAAAAATAAATAATAAAAATAAAGTCAAAATTAGCCGACGGAGTCTAAACGAAAGTTGTAGAGCGTAGTCTCACCTTCGCGTGGATATAAAAAACGTTGAAAATGGAGTTCGTATGAAGAAGGTATGAATTTTCGAACTTTATTAAATAATTTGTATTTAAATTTAATTGAAAAATCCGGTATTATCCGAGGACGAGTCATCGGACTCATCCAAAGTACGCCCCGCGTACACCGAGGATGTCGACACTCGCATCAAGTGGCTTCGGATGACGAACGTAATGACGATTTCGGACCTGTAAGCCCCGCGTACTCCGAGGCATCAGCCTCCTATAAATAGGATGCGAGGGCAGCCGACGTCTTTGCTATTTTTCTCCATTCTCTCTCCCGTTTTGCCTCGATTTGCGTGCCAGAAATACCCTGAAGCCCCGGTAATATTCCCGAGTCCCGAAGCAAGTCCCGAGATCCCGAAGATCCCGAGAAGTGCGGTTTCCGAGCCGAAGCTCTACCCGCGAGAAGCTCGATTTTTGTAGAGATCTTCCAGATCTGCTGAGGATTACTACTTTTGCAAGTCGTGGTACTGTCCGATCATCTTCTGATCAAGTGAATGTATTCTACCTTTCATAAACGCAATAATAATACAAGTATGGTTTGAGTGTATTAAGTATATTGTTGTTTATATGTGTGAGTGTGTTGTTACTTTCTCCTAACGTATAATTATGAAGTATTTTATACGAGATACGTGTTATGTGTATATTTTGTTGTTATGTGTGTGAATGTATATTCACTTTCTTCTATCTTACAGATCT